CAAGACAGCATGCTGACACACACTCTGCCCCCCAAAAACCCACTCTCTCTCCCCCCACACACAACACACTCCCTGTCACTCTCCACCCCACCTCCCCCATTTGAAAAGCACGTTGCAGCCACTTGCACGCTGGGATAGCTACCACAATGCACTGCTTTTTGTGGCATTGCAAGAGCTGCTAATGTGGCCATGCCAGTGCATTTGCAGCTGACAGTGTAAACACAGGGCAACGTTTTCCCTGCTGCCGTCTCCGAAGGCTGGTTTAACTCCCAGCGCTCTACATTTGCAAGTCTAGCCATGCCCTTAGGGTGTGTCGTCACAGCACAGTTAGCTCAAGTTGTAACTCATTTGTTACCTCTAACTTGACTACCATCCACATCCAAAACTGTCTGCTCAGGGGTTCTCAAACTGGGGGTCAGGACCCCTCAGGGGGTCATGAGGTTATTACATGGGGGGGTCGCGAGCTGTCAGCCTCCACCCCAAACCCCGCTTTGCCTCCAGCATTTATAATGGTGTTAAATATATAAAAATGTGTTTTTAGTTTATAAGGGGGGTCACACTCAGAGGCTTGCTATGTGAAAGAGGTCACCAGTACAAAAGTTTGAGAACCACTGGTCTAGCTCGATGGAAGTGGTGTTTTAGGCTCAAGCTAACTAGCCTGTAAGGAATGGGGGGGGAGGAGGTAGGTGCAGAGGCAGATTTTGGGTTTGTGGGGCCATAGGCCAGAGCAAGTGGGGGGCCCTCCCTATCCCTTCCACCTGCAGTCCCCCCCTGCGGCCATCCCCACTGGCACTCCTTGCCTTGCCTTGCCCTGCTCTGCCCTGCCCTGTCCACCTGGTGCTCCTGCTGGGGAGCGGGGGGAAACCCTGTGCCCCGACCCTGCTCCCAGGCAGGAGTGCCAAGTGGGTTGGGACATGGGAGCGCCTGTTTTTCTGGGGGCCCCCCATTGGCTGGGGCTCCTGGGCATGGGCCCAGTCGGCCCAGTGGCTAATCTGCCACTGGGTAGGTGGGCTGTAACTTCAGCTAGTAATGCAGTGAGGATGCCACAACTCAAGTTACAACTCCCCAGCAGTTAGTCAAATCACCGTGTAACTTGAATGTTGTTTTGAAATGTGGTTGCTGTCAGTCAGGCTTGGCTAGCTGAAGTGCACCACAGCGCTGTGAAGAGACACTCTCAAAAAGGTTTGAAGAATTTCTCTTGACTGTTACCTACCTATGGCAGGGTTCACTGTGGAGAATGGCTCCAGTTGAGGGCAAGAATGAAGGCTCCATTGGCTTTCCATTCTAGAGTCATCCTTAACTGACGGGCAATTGAAAGAAAACAAGGAGCCATGGAAGGATTTGTCTTTAAAAATTTGTGAATAGGTATGATGCTTGATTCTGCTTATTACTTACCTGCTGTGTAGGTCAGGCCATTTGGGGTCTGTCTATACTGCAGCTGGGAGCAAGCCTCCCAGCCCGGGTAGAGAGACTCCTGCTAGCAGTGTGGACCTTGCAGCTCAGGCTGCAGCTTGGGTTCTCAGCCCATCTGACCCCCTTGGCTTGAGAGCCTGAACTGCAGCCCAAGCCACAGTAGCCACGCTGCCATGCTCCCCGCTGCAGTGTAGTGCCCTGGGTTTAAGATGGAGTATTGCATGCTGTGTCCCTACCGCAAGAGGCCTCTCCTTATTTTAAAGGTGCATTCTGCCCCATTTGGTTTGAATTAAATGTGGCCCAACTGTACCTTGTGAGTTACTGATGCCACTTTTGTTTGGGCAAAGTCTGGGTAGGGCTAGGTGTATGCTGCACTCTAAAAAAAAGGGGTGTATTTTCTGAAGAGCTTGAAAAGAAAATAATGTTTCTAGGTGAATATTCGTTTGCCAACAGTTACATATGCATTTTCCAGTGTTTGATCTACTATTGCGATAATTAATGTATGGCATAAAGAGGAAGTTTAATTTTAAACTGGAATTTGGCTGTAGAAAACTGATAGGTTGACAGGCATGTTTATTGTTTTTCAATTCATCTCATGAGCCATAATGGAAGAAATAGCCTCCATATTCCACTCACTTCCTATCTTGAATCAGAAATATTTAGGAAAGATCTATTTTCCCATTAATATTGATTAGAGAGAGATTTACATTCCATCAAAATAGGAAATGGGTCATAAAGAAAAAGGGAGAAGAGTGAAATAAGTAGAGTAGAGAGGGGGGAAATGCCAAGAATTAAAAAGAGAGAGAGCGGGAGGAAAGAAATCAGTGAAATCTAAAGGGCAGAGAAGATTGCTTTAATATGGGAGGAGAAATATTTGTGTTTCCTCTAGCTCTTAATCTGCTTAATTTTGGGAGGAAATCCTTTTGCCCCATTTGAAAACATGTCTGGAGTTCTCCTTACAGGCAAATTAACCCTGGTTCTCAATTATATCTAGTTGTATTCCTATCCAGGCTCCATGTTATTTAATTGTTTAATTTCACAGCACCAAAAAAATTAACATTTTTTATATGCACGTTTGAAAAAATTGAGCCACTCTTGGTCAGTCTTTATTGAAATCACCAGCCCTGGCCTGAGCCCCCTTAAGGGTTTCTTCTGGACCAGGTCTTGTTAACCATTCCACTCTCTCAACAAGACAGTTCTTGCGGAAATTAAATCTAAGATTTCACATTCTCTATACAGATGGTCCGTGCTTAAATGTGACTGTTATTTCTTCCTCCAGTAATGATTTTATTCATTTGCAGGGATATACAGTACACCTCTACCCCGATCTAACACTGTCCTCGGGAGCCAAAAAATTGTACCGCGTTATAGGTGAAACCCCGTTATATCGAACTTGCTTTGATCCGCCGAGGTGCGCCCCCCCGCCCCCCCGGAGCACTGCTTTACCGCGTTATATCCGAATTCGTGTTATATCGGGTCACGTTATATCGGGGTAGAGGTATATTACATTTTTCAGAATATGACTTTGTCTAGAAGATTTTACTATTAAACCTGGATAAAGCAGCAGCAAATGTGCTAGATTCACTGAACTTTTCCAGCTAAATCTTCTTTCTCGCCCATGCTGCTTTAGACACAGATGCTATTGTTAGAAGTCTCTAGGGCAGATTTTAGGGCTATATTGAATTACAGTTTTTTAGGTTTGTTACGGAGCAATGTTAAAGTTGAGAGTAGCCCACAATTATCAGCCTGTTTTTGGCATGCACGCATACCTTATCTTAACCCAAACAAAACCATTCTGTCAGGTGTAATTTTAGAATTTTTATGGAAAGTTTGAGGTAAATCAAATCAGGCTTTCTGGAGATAAGAGGGTTAAACAATATGATGATCTCAATTATGGAATATTTTCCTAATTTTTAAACTTATTTTCACTTGTCCCAACTCCAAAATGGAGTGATTAATCTATAATCTGTTGTTTTTAGCAAGAATTTACATTTGGGAGTGCTGTTGTCAGAATGATTATTAAGAACAGTTTCTGCGTACATTATGAGCATTGCAGAGTTTTGTGACAAAGTGGGGATTTCCCCTTGTTATGTTATATGTGAGCTATGCGAGTCTTACTGTTGAGCCTATGTGAGTTTTACTGTTTTGCATGAATACTGTGTGTGTCTCAGTTTCCCTGTGTGCTACACCAATACCTAGGTGGTGGGAATAAGGATGTGTGACTTTGGCTGAGACCCTCTGGGGCAGGTGAGGCTGCTCCTGCTGTCTGCATGTATGCTATGGCAGGTGCCCTTCGTAACCTGCCCAGGAGGGGGATGCAACCAGGTGACGATCAGGTGACTCTTTTCCCTGGGAAGCGAGACAAAGACCAGGAGGAGGAGCAACGGGGCGGGGGGTGTCGGAGGTCGGATTGCTGGTAGCTGGGCAATCTGCTTGGGGAACTGAAAGAGGGGAAGTCCAGGGCATCTGGCCTGGGACTCCCCAAGATGGACGTGGCTGAAAGTCACTGATTTCTGTGCTAGCAAGCTGTGTTCTACGCTTTGTTCCTGTCAACTAATAAACCCTTCTGTTCTACATTCTGGCTGAGAGTCACTGCTGACTGTGGAGTTGGGGTGCAGGGCCCTCTGGTTTCCCCAGGAGTCCTGCCTGAGCGGACTCGCTGCAGGAGGCACACGGTGTGGAAGGGGATGCTGAATGTTCTGAGGTCAGATCCAGGAAGGTCGAAGCTGTGTAAGCTTCTTGCCCTGGTGACAGAATGCTCAGAGAGAGGAGGCATGCTACACCAGAGTCCTGACTGACTTCATATGAAGTAGTTCCAGAGCTTTGGCCTGGTGACTCCGTGACAAGTTTATAAACTCCATGTGGCCGCTAAGCAGGTGGCCATGATGGAGGAAGCAGCAGGAGAGAAACCCCATGGAGTGGAGGGCCTGGAACAGTTTATCAATAAGAGTCAGACAGTCAGGTTGTTTTGCAACTTTCACAGTCACTCGTGATGAAAGTGTGCATTGTTGTAGGATAGGATCATATCCTGGTTTTGAGGTTTTTAAGTAATTGAGAGTTACAGCCTTAACTCCAGTGTACCACATATTTTGCATAGGAATGTTAACTGGTAGAAGTTGGCATGTTACCATGTAAACAAAATAAAATAGAAATTGGTTTAATATTGTTCAAATTAATATGAAAAATTCCATCAAATGTTTATTTTTAAAAAAACCTCATGCAATATCCATGCAGTTAATATGTTGACATTGCTGTTGTATGATTGATTTCTGTATTGTGCTGTTCTTTGGATGACTCTCCAGTGCTTTTCTCAAACTCTAGTTATTAATGAGTTCAGAAGTCAGAGTAGGAACAAAAAACTCTTCAGCTCTGTAAACCCTACGGAAAGAGAGCGTTGGCCTCAGAGGCAAGCAATACCATTAAAGTGTCATTGCTCTTTGCTCAGAGATATACAGCTGATTGCTGAGGCTGTCCTCAGAAGTAGTTTAATTTCATGTGATAAAGGTTGTTCTTATTCCATGTTCCCTGCTCTCTGTTCTTCCTGGCAGCCCTGGGACTCACCGTAGTGATTTTCTCTGTCCTGTCAGGTTATCACCCCGTGTCGGAAACTCATCCTCTGTGCAGATAACAGAAAAGAGATGGAAGATTGGATTGCAGCACTGAAGACTATACAGAACCGTGAGCATTTTGAGGTAATAGAAGAACTCTCTTATTTACCAGCTGCGTTTTGTGCAGTTCCTCCCACATAGCATCTGTTTACGGGCTTGACCCAGTGCCCATTAATGGGAGTCCTTTCATTGACTTCAGTGGGCATTGGATCAGATCTTATATACGAAACCTCCAAACTGCTGCCTGTGCACAACTCCCTCTTACAGTGACTTTTGTACTCTGTACACTCCCCTCTTGGTGAGTGTTAGAACACTTACCACAGGATAGGTAGGTATAGAAACATACCTCGCACCCCTTGTCTTCAAATGCTTGGTGTCAGCCTACCACCATTGCCCTGACTTGTCACACCTGCTCAGGATTCAGCCTCTTGCAACTGCAGTGTATCCAGGTGCTTGGTCTGTAGCAACCAAACTCCTTGTCCTGCTATGTGCTTAGCCTGCCTAGTGTGTTAACTGCACAAAGCCTGCCCTCTCCCTACCCCCCAGGAAAGATTGTGCTATTTTTGCCTTTTCTGTTATGTTTGAGTTTCTCTCTTAGGAAAACTCTCAACCTCCACCTTAGGGTTTACTGTACTGTATTTATTTTAAGTCTACACAGTACAGTATGGACCATTTCTCAGGGATGCATAACTGGTACGCCTGCTCACATGCTCGGCCAACGTACTGCAACGTGTGCCGGGAGGCATTATCTGGGGTCACGTCGCATGGACTCTCATGTGAAGGTAAAAGCACTTTATTGTCTCTCACTCAGGGCTTATTGCCATGGTGACTCACTAGTGTATTCCAAAGATCATTTAAAACAATGGATCTGTTGTTCACTGTCTACAGAATGGGCCAGAAGAAAAGTGACACCAAACACTCAGAAAGCTACAGAGTATGTAAGAATGGAACTCTTATGGGCTTGATCCTACATTCCTTTTGCTCTCAGATTCCTGTTGGCTTTCTGGGGAATTTGCTGGGTGCATAACGAATACAGGATCTGGTCCTTAGAGGGCTGTAGGAAGATGACAGTGTGTGTAGTTTTAATGCTTGTTCTTATGTTGTTGGATCTGGCAGTGGTGTGGTGAAGCACTTATTTTTGATCTGCCAAGATCATTACTATAGAATATTAGAATTTTCCAAATCCGAAGTGTGAAAGTATCCGTTTTTGAAGAATCAAATTGCAAGTGTATTTTTTATTATTCATAGCAGCAAGTGCATATAAGTGTTTGAATCTCAGGAGGTTAATCTTGCTCACCTTTGGCATAGGAGACATTCACAGCTTCTCGCGGCTCATACTTCTAGCGTGGAGAAGGTTACACCCATGATGTATAAAGGGGTGCAGGCATATTTTACTGTACATATCATGTCATATTTAATAAGGGGATAATTAACCCTTGTACAATCCAATGGTGAAAATGAGGAGCAAGAGTTAGCAGTTAGAGCAAAATAGAGGTTTTTAACCAACTCAGTGCATTAAGCTTTGATAGTTTTGCCATTGCTAACGAGGCAGAGGGTGCTCTCTTTCGGAGCAGACATTTGAAGCTCTGTGTTTCACTGCTCAGTCAGCCTTTATGCTCATACTGTATGTGTTCAGTGGCAGGATTAATTTATTTTTCTTCCTCTTTAGTATGCAAGTTTAAAGCTCACAAACGGTGTGCTGTCCGGGCAACCAACAACTGCAAATGGACGACACTGGCGTCTATTGGGAAGGATATCATTGAAGATGAAGATGGGGTATGTATTGGCCTAGACCATGTCCCCTCTGGGTTGGAATATCTGGAACTGTGGAGTCTACTTTGCATTTGTCCCTCCACACATGCTGCTTTTGAGAGATCAGGGTGGAATGACTAGAAGCAGTTGAAGCCTTCTTTCCCCAAGTCCTGATGTGGAAAAGTTAGACGGAACTGCATGGCCCGAGGCTATAAAAAAAAAAATACTGGCTGGCAAATACTCTGTACAATTAGCTGTCCTGTGGAAATAACCGACTTTGTCTTTAAATGCAAATGGTATGTAAAGCCACTTGGTGTCAGAAAGTGATGTTCTTTATGAAAGAGCCTTCCGTTATTACTCATGTGTTATATTGATAGGATTCCATGATGGCCAGAGACATAACTGTAGAGTTATGGACCATCAGAACATGGTGCTTTGAGGTTGAGTAGTTAAGGGTGTGGTTCCCTATGTCTCAGTCTTGGGAAAGGAAGGATGGTCCAGTGGTTAGGGCACTAGCCTAGGACTTGGGAGACCTGGATTAAAGTTCCTGCTCTGCCACAGACTTCCTTTGTGACCTTGGGCAAGTCACTTAGCCTATCTGTGCCTCAGTTCCATGTAAGTACTTAAGATCAATAAATAGGTGTTTCCTAGAGATTGGCCTTGCTGGCCTTAAGCATCACATCTGTGTGTGTCTCATTGCTACACCATGTCTTATATTCTTAGAGTTGTAGTCTGGAATCTCACAGTGTTCCCTCTGTGCTTGGTTTGCAGATTTCAATGCCACACCAGTGGCTGGAAGGAAACCTCCCCGTGAGTGCCAAATGCATGGTGTGCGATAAAACATGTGGCAGCGTTCTGCGCTTACAAGACTGGCGCTGTCTCTGGTGCAAAGCCATGGTAAGCTGAGTGAATGTGGTATACCTCTGTGATAGTGTCAGCTCCTCACTGCTCGGTGTACACATGGCTGTGTGCTCTGTTACTGCTGTTTGTGTGAAGCGACAGTTGAGGCCAAGCTCTCATTCAAATGTATCCATGTTCTTCTTTATGTCATAGGTGGCCTGCAAAGGGTAAGAAGTAAGGCTTGTGCCTAGATGCTTCACTGGGATGTGAATATATAAGGCCTGAAAAGCTTTTTCACACCAAAAATACTCTGGATTTTTTTCTGCCTGTGTGTTCCCTTAGAAATACCTGGATTGTCATGTCTATTCATCGTCCTTTTACCAGAGGTCTTTGATGAAAGAATCTAAAGTGTATAGGGTATGTCCTTGGCCCTTAGCTGCAGTGGGTGGAGATGATGAATCTTTAACAAACCACTGTTTAGAGCTGAGTAGGTATTAACAGAAACAAACAACAAAGCAGGGAGTTTTAAACCACTTCAATAAAAACCATTTCCCCTCCCAATTCAACAGGTTTCACTTGCTTAATATCTATGACATCATAAATCCTGCTAGTTTTCCAGTTGGCTATAGGGGTATTAAGGGGGAAAAGCAGTACATGAATTTCTCATGTTAAAAATAAACAACAACAGAAATTAAAAACAAGATAACCCTTATGCCGGGCCTTCTCCATACATCAGAAAGGAGCAAAAAGGTCACTAGCCTAATTTCTGTTTACCTATGCAGGGCACTTTATCACCCTCCTTTCTTTCTTATCTTACCCCACACCATGTCAGTTGCACCCACACTGTGTATTTACCCTACTGCCTCCCTTCTCTCTGCTTTTCCATTCTCTGTGTTCCCTCTTCCACTGCTCCTTTTTCTTTCCCAACTTTTCATTTTATTCCTACTTTCTGTGTCTCCACTTGGGCCAAAATGTTGAAAACTGGGTACCTGAAATGAGATTTAGGCACCTAACTGAGTGGCCTGATTTCCAAAAATGTTGAGCACCCAGCTGTTCCCACTGAGGTGGGTGAAGTTATACCAGGGATTAACTTGGCCCTGTGGGTCCCAACCTTGTTATCATGTGCTCTGAGTGCCAAGTGCCCATCTCGAAAGGAAAGGCAGCGTGTATAAACAGGAAGGGCTGAGGAAAGCTAACAGAAGAGATGAATGAACTGTGAACCCAGTTTGCTGCATGGGGTGTATCTATACTGCAGCTAGGAGCGATCTGCCTAGCCCAGGTAGACAGACTCTCATTAGCAGAGCTCGAGCTGGCATGCTAAAAATAGCACTGTGGACATTGCGCTCCTGCAGAGACTTGGACTAGCCAAAAGAGCTTAAACCCAAGGGATCAGTGTGCTTGAAAGCCCAAGCTGCAACATCCGCAGTGCTAATTTTAGCACACTAGCTCAAGCCCTGCTAGCATGAGTTTTGCTCTCAGTTGCAGGGTAGACATTCCCTTGGGTTTGTCTACTCGGGAAAGTTAAGACAATTAACTAAAGGTGTGAAGTTAATGTGCATAAGTGAAAATGCTTTAAACCTGTGTTTAATGTAGCTTATGAATTAAGGCAACTTTACTTCTGAATGAGTGTCCACATGGTTTTCATGCACTTCAATTTATGTACATTAACTTCACACTTGTAGTTAAGTTGCCTAAATCCTCAAGTAGACAAGCCTTTAGACCGCTTTCTTTAAAATATTTTTGGTCACTTCATACTGTTGATTCCCATTTCTTTGGATGCCCCCCCTATTTTCTGGCTGTTCAAGTCCTGTTTTCAAAGTGGGATGGGTTTCTGCATTGTGGAACAGGACCAAGAAGGATCTGGCTGAATACAGTTTTATTATTTCAGGTACACACAACCTGTAAAGACTTGTTGCCAACTAAGTGCCCCCTCGGCCTCTGTAAAGTATCTGTCATCCCTCCCACGGCTCTGAACAGCATTGATTCAGATGGTAAGTATCCACTAATATCTTCCCCTCTCTCTTTCAGTTACAGGCCTTTCAACTAGATATTTTTACCCCAAGGCCCTGAACTGAATTCTGCTAAAATTTCAAGTAAAACCCAAACTGGAGGTTTTGGCTGAAGCATGAGAATGAATAATCTTATCAGCATTGAGTTCCTTGGGCTGTTTATTTTGATATTACATTTAGTTTATTTGCTATTGCCCCCAAAGTTTGCTGCAGCTGTTGTTGTTCATACTGCAAAATGCAATTTTGGGAGGTGGGGAAGCTGGCAATTCAAGCATCTGGCTAGAAGAACTGCAACATTTGACCTCATGATTGGTGGAAGGTGGTTCGTGCTGGATTCAGTGCTGTGTCCATTTGGCATTTACTCTGCGTATGTCAGCACCTCAGAGAAAGAATTAACTTCTTCATCCCTGTGCTTGGAGAACATTACTGCTAGGTGTGAGGTTGTTTCTTTCTTTGCCCCTCCCCGAGTGCAGCTTCACCTTTTCTGTGTTCCTTCTTCCCATTCAGGGTTCTGGAAAGCCACTTGCCCCCCGTCCTGCACAAGCCCCTTGCTGGTCTTTGTCAACTCAAAAAGTGGAGACAACCAGGGTGTAAAATTCCTAAGAAGATTCAAACAGCTGCTGAATCCGGCACAGGTCTTTGATCTTATGAATGGAGGACCTCACCTTGGGTAGGGAAATATTCTCTGGATGAGCAGATTCCTTGTAAATATCAAAGAAATAGCAATGATTGACTCTTTGATTTAAAATCTCTCTCTCTCTCTTTCCCCCCCCCCCCCCCCCCCCCCCCCAAAAATCTAGCAAGGATACTACTCCTCAGAGATAACTGTATATATGCAGAGTGTGGAGGGGCTTTCCCTAGCTGTTAATTGAGTTACTGATCAGCCAAAACCAGATCTTAATGTTGAAATGTGTAATTTCCATTCTCCAATAACTGCAAAACAGCTGAAGGATTTCCCTGAGATTCCAGAAGCTCCCCTCTGGGATGAGACCAAGCATGGAAAGCTTCAGCCCCAAAAAGCAAGTTATGTGAAGACAGGCTTCTAAGAGCCATCCTGATCTAACTATTACTGTTGCATTTGCTATGATGAGAAACAGGATATTGTAGATGGTACTTGGATGCTGTCAAAGTGAGCTGTATAGAAATAGCTGCAAATAAAAATGACATCCATGGAATAAACTTTGACCTCCACCCTGACCACTAAGTCATTGCTCCTGGGCTGTTTCTAACATCTCGAGCCTCGTTCACATGGGAGAATGCCTTTTTAAAGAAAAAAAGCCCATCACACGGTGTTTCCTTTTCTATTCCCCCAATATGGCTTTAGTAAAAGCAGGATTTTCAAACCATACTGAGTTGGGATCCGAGATCAGGCAGCATCCACTCCTGAACCATGACCATTTTAAAATCTAATAGCTTGTGGACTATTGTAGCTACCATAGACATTTTGTTCACCTTAGCAGGATGCAAGATAGTGGACCTGAAAACTGAAGCACTCTGATTGATGGAAAAGTTATATTAGATCATTTTTAGAGGGTTATAAAATTAAATAGTACTAGTTATTTCCTCTCTCTGCCTGTATGGTTGGATTTGTGGTACTAAGGCACATGTTTTCAAAGGGGAGGGATATGAAATACAGTATCAAATAATTTTATCAAATTTTTAAAATTGCTTTTTTGTAGAAAAAGAAAGTGGCAATAACAAAATAAATGATGGTGTGGTATACTGTTCACTGAGTAATTTCAAACTCACGCCAATCAAACTGTGCACCACAAAATGCCATCATCTATGACAGCTTTTTCTCAATGCTGTGGTGATTGCTTACAGTAATATGATTTTTCTGTAGTGCTGTAGCAAATTTATTTAGTACAGGCAATACCCTTGGATGCTTTACAGTAAGAACCACAGACAGCTTTTTAAAAAGGTTGATTTTTAGGCCTAATATTCTGAACAGTGTCCATACTAGCCCAGATGAATGGGAAAGTTACACTTTTCTCGGTGGTGAGTTGTTTTCCTGGTTGCAAAGCAGACAAGGCAGCAGAGCAATGATTTGCAGAGTACCTTTGTGACAGAATTGTGAGGTTTAATCTCCTGTTCCTGAACACGTGCATGTACTGAATCCCCATTCTTGCAGTCTTTCTTTAATTGGCATGGCTCTGAATATGGAGGCACTGAATTCAGAACAATCCAAGCCATAACAAATAACCTAACTGTATGCAGAACACCAAAAATCTGCAGACAGGTATTAATTCAGCAGATTATCAGCTGCCAAATATTTGTTTCCTCTACTGTTGAGAGTAAAGTAGGCTGATGCAGAAGTGGAGTGCCCTGGTATAGATTCTCCATTCTATACAGTGAATAGATATGAACATTGCACATAGCTGTATTTATACTTCCTTTTTACAATGAAGAATTCAAATTCACCCGAAGTCTAGCAGTGACTTGTGTTCATTGAAAAAACAGCCTAGTCAAAGCTACCCTGCAAAGTTCGTAACCCAGATTGAAATAGCTAATCACTCCTGTTTCTTTAGTAGCACATTATTCTTCCCATCTGTTTTTTTTTTTCTTCCCTCCTGTAGTTTACGTTTATTCCAGAAATTTGACACTTTCCGGATTCTGGTTTGTGGTGGGGATGGAAGTGTTGGATGGGTTCTGTCCGAAATTGACAGCCTCAATCTTCACAAACAGGTACCTGCCCACAGGGCTTGTCCATGTGTAAGAATGAAGAACAGACAACCACGGGTGAAGAGGACTCTGATCAGACAGAAATACAGTTGTGCCAGGAGTGAAGCAACTAAAAGCTTCCCATAGCCGGTGCTCCTGCAGTAACTTCTGCTGAATGGGGCCGGGCACTACACTTAACAGTGACACCCCTCACTGTCAGGGCTTCTACACAGTTCCCTCCTGTGACAGCCAGGTATTGGAGTAGCTCTGAGCATTCGCTCGGTCTGTGCTCCTACACCATTCCCTACATAGATTTCTCCCGGGAGAGAGCTGGGCCTAGCTCCCAAAAGGCCAGCGCTCCTACTCCAGTCCCTCTAATAATTCTAGGAGAGGGTGAGAGTCCCTTTGGTATCAGAGTCCAGGAATAGCTAAATACTTTCCCAAAGGGAGTGTTCTGTGTGCTGTGTTAATTCTGGAGATTTTCTCCTGGCGATCCCTGTGCCATTCCGTTAGGAAAGGCAACATCACCACCTGGTGTAAAATGAGAATTTTGAGCTCTGCCCAGCTGTTGAAAGGTTTTCTTTGTAGTGGATAGGTCAGGAGTATCATTGGAATCTACTCCTCTCTCGATTCACAGCTTTTTCTGGTTGTGGTCAGTCCTAGCTGGCGTCCTCTTTATCTTATGACTAGTTTTCTTTCAGGGATTGATCTAGGTTGGGAATCAGTGAGGTTCTTCTCAGTGTTATTTTTGGATGGATGGGGCTTGCGTTTTCTCTTTTGGATATCCATATTGGTCTTCTTTTCTCCTGGTGCAGTGCCAGCTGGGAGTGCTTCCCCTGGGTACAGGAAATGACCTTGCCCGGGTGCTAGGCTGGGGATCTGCATGTGATGACGACACCCAGCTACCACAGATCCTGGAGAAGCTGGAGAGGGCCAGTACCAAAATGCTGGACAGGTGAGTGTCAGCCCAACCACAACATCCACATCTCTGACTCAAGTTCTACCACCGAGTGTGTGCTAAGCTCTGTTCTGAGACATCAGCCTGCCAGGACAGTCATACTGTTCCTGACTCTTATTTGCCTGAATTACTGACTAGTTTCACCAATGGTTCCCCATTATACTCAGTTATCAGGGCAAAGCATTCTTACATTGCTTATTACCCCTGCAGAATAATCGCACCAAGGAGATATTGTGCAATCTAGAAGTGATTAGTAACACCTGGCAGGAGAGAGGCAGAGGTCTCCCCTTACTGCCCAGAGTTACACATGCATCAGTGATGATTGTAAAATGAGTTTGGTGGTTTCAACCTAGTCCCAAACCACTACACAGTTTGGTATGGATGATCAGAGGAGATCTAAGGCTGCAATAAACTCATAGTAATTAGATATGGCAAGGATGTTATGTCATTTTGTACATCCGCTTCCCTATCCTGCAGTATAGTCTTGAGCATTATGTCATGTCTAGAAGTTGGGTAGTGGAGTTGGATAGCATAGTGAAATTGAAATGGTCCACAATCTCTGTACTCCAGAAATCTTCTCAGTGTAACTTGGCTGCATTACAGTCTGTGATTTTGCCATCAGGTGTTCACTCAGGATTTGAAATAGCTATTTCATGTCTGAATCAAAAAGTAAAACTGAAAGCTGAAGTGGACATCTGTACTGCTAGTGTTTATTTCTAGATCAAGCTGACACTTAAAAAATATATCTGCAGCAGCCTTTGAGAGTTGCGCCATGGAAATTCTCATAGCAAAACCTGCAGGTTTTTTCTGTTAGAGAAGGTGGGGGTAGCGAATAGGGAATACTAAGGACGTGGGGATGGAAAGGGATGTTTGTTTGGAGGGTATCACTCCTTCCCTTTCCCCAGTTCAAACCCCTTTACAAAGTGACATGCTGTGACACTAAGCACCCCTGTATGTGACACATGCATCTATAGGAATGCGGTCTTTTTTTTATCCTGAATGCGCATGTGCATAGCCTTTCATTCAGGTCATATAAAGAGCCCTTTCATTCTGTCTTAGTCCACGGTTGTTTGTATTTCTCATGGCGAGAAGGCCATCAGCTTGGTAGTAATAGTTGCAATGGTTTCATTTCAATAGGTGGAGCATCATGGTGTATGAAACCAAACTCCCTCGTCAGTCATCGACTTCCACAGTCACTGAAGATTTCAGTGAGGATTCTGAGGTACTTAGCCAGCTGCAAAGGGCTGAAGACTGGGAGGGGATTCAGCAGCGGATGGGCTCAAACCAGACAAGGGAGCGGGCTATGGAGAAGAGAATTTAAATGAAGTGGGCATGGGCTCTACATCAGAGGGGTGACCTGCTGTAGAGAAGGATGGGAATTGGGCTGCCGAAAGCAATAGACTCTTAAGGAGGCATGATAGGAGATAGGTTGCTGCAGAAATGGGGACGCTTCCGTATTAGGCAAGTGAAGTGCTGTAGAGGAAGACAGGTTGGGTTGGAAGTTATATTGGCTTTTCCGTACACTACCATACAAGCTGGCATGCTATAGGAGCTGCTGAAAACTGCACAACGTTCTCAGAATCATAAAAAACAGTGTTTTCTATTCCCAAGTGGATAGTCCTGAGCCCCAACTCTGTACCACATTGACAAGCTGGTAGAAGTTCGTTTCCTGATCAGATAGTCACGCCAGACCAGTAACTGTGATCTGTACCGTAGAGCTCTCAGAGGAAACCCAAAGAAAGTCGAGTGAATAGAAATCATGGTCCTGCACCTTAGAGTGCACTATGGGAAGCCCAAGTGTAACACAGCATATGGGAACCCTGGCCATGGGCCTAGGTGCACGATGGGAACAATAATCTAACGGCTTGTTTCTGGCTCTCTCCAGGTGCAGAAGATTCTCTTCTATGAAGACTCTGTGGCTGCTCATTTGTCCAAAATCTTGACTTCTGACCAACACTCTGTGGTCATCTCCTCAGCCAAGTGAGTATGTCCAGGAGAGCCCATTGCAGGGGATCAAGGGGGAAAAGTCACCCTGAGAATGGTGAGCAAACCTGTGAATGACTGTCTTGCCTGCCTCCTTTGCCTAGGGTGCTTTGTGAGACAGTGAAGGATTTTGTGGCTCGAGTAGGGAAGGCCTACGAGAAAGCGACGGAAAGCTCAGAGGAGTCGGAGGTCATGGCCAGGAAGGTATGTTGGGAAAAGAGCACTTCAAATGTAGAAAGCTATGGGAGAAAACCACTCTGCTGTCAGAGAGACCCAGCTGGCGCACATACAGCAGCAATCCAACAGGCAGGGGGCTACCCAGTTCCACTGGTATGATCGTGCACAAACCTTCTGCTTTAACCTGCAGTGCTCTGTCCTGAAGGAGAAGCTGGACTCCCTTTTGAAGACATTAAATGATGAATCTCAAGCCTCTTCGTCTCTGTCAAACCCACCTCCCACCATTGCAGAGGAGACAGAAGATGGTGATGGATCTGGCAGTGCTTGTGATTCTTCTAGTGACCACTCCATGGGATCATCATGCACTGCCCGTCCCCAGATATTCCGGCCTAGAGAACAGCTAATGTTGAGAGCCAACAGCCTGAAAAAAGCCATTCGTCAGATTATAGAACATGCAGAAAAAGGTAAGAGGTGCGGGATCCTGCCTGCAGTTCATTGTCTGCTCTTGGGACATGTACATTGCCTTTACTCCAGGGAGGAGCAGGATTCATGATTTAACCACAACATTCCTGATCTGTATGACAATCTTCCAGTAAGCCTGTATGCATTTTTCCCCATACAAAGAAGGGTTCCTACAGGATTGACCTTCCACCCCTAGGCCACCAGTTAGAAAATCTTTGCCATCATATGGCTGTTCAGTGCTATTCTCAGTCTGGCCCCAGTTAAAGGGCCCACATCAAAGGCATATAGTAAGAGTCCTAGCCTCTCCATCTTCATATCGCACTGTAGGACCCACCTCTTCAGTAAAGCATTCCCTAAAGAATCAGAACAGAACCAAACCTGGCAGCTGGGCACCTCCTCCGTCTCTTCGGACTTAGCATTTCCCCCTCTGGTGGTGGTGGTGGGGACTGGGGTAAATCAGCACCGCCTGGACAGCGTTTGTCTTTCCCCTCAGGGTTTATTTATTAGTATTGCCAAGGCAGGCCTCAGGGCAGGCCCAAGGAGCGCTTCTCCACTGAATAAAAGAAACAAATTCACAACACAAAATAAAAGGGGGATACCTTTCCCTGCCCCCTCTCTGCGGGTTGGGGTGTTGTCCTGTTGTTGGCCCCAGGATGCCAGTCCTTCTAAACAGGCAGTCAGGTTGGTTGTTTTCCCCCATGGGGGGAGAGCAGCCTTTCTCCCTGCTGCCACTGGCCCAGCAGCAGCTTGTTTCCCCCTCCGTCACCCCCCAGAGGTTTTGAAAAGTTGCAGGCAGCCCTTAATTGGATCCATGTGTCCCTAGTTGACCTGAGGTAACCTCTATTCAGCTTGTAGGGAAGGGCCTTTATCATTCATGGGCTAATATACCTGCCTTCCATCGTTCTCTTACAGCTGTCCAGGCTGACTTGGTCACACAGCACACTCCAAGGTAGAAGGCAACAATTAAACCAAAGAATAGAATGGCAAATTGGCTGGCCTGCTGTTTTCTGCAACCCATGTACAATGTGTAAATACTCCCAGGGGAGGTGCTTTAGAAATACTTTAGATAGATTGGATCCAAAACCTAACATCGTGGTTGGCTTTTAATTGGCACCTGGACTGACTATTTCATACTCATTAGGCCCACTGTGTGCTCACTGGCTCTTTGTGGCCCAGCGCCAGCGGAACACGCCAGCTGCCATGCCTGTGACCCATTCCCCTCTCCCTGCCTCCCCTCAGCTCCAAATTCCAGTCCCTTCAAAAGTGTCAAGCAGGAAATCCCGGTTGAACTGAGAAGGAAGTATGTATTGGTGTATTACAGAAGGGAGAGAAAAGCGTAAAAGTCAGAGATTTAAAGTCTCTGCACACCTAAATGAGTACAACCGTAAGCAACCTTAAACTTGGCACTAAGCCTGAAGTTGCAAATCATTGAAATATTACCTGGATTTACAACTGTAATAGTCTGGGTGTTCACTGTCCTTTGTCAGAGAAACAAGAACTGATGCGGAGAGGTTGTGTCTGGGAAAGAACAAGCCCGTTAGTTCCATCCAGAGGAGGTTTTGATTTCTCCGAGTAATACATAAGCATTTGACTTCACCATCCCTTGAACAAACAAGTTCCGTTGCGTTTTGTGAACATATTTGATTAAGTCCTCTGTGCCGCTTTGTTTCCAAAAACACACATTTAATTCCTTCCTTCCTTTTTATTGGTTTATGCCCAAGCCCTCTCTTTTCTCCACATGATACCAATGTTGGTGGTCACTTCAAATGGCCTATTTTATTGTCACGGTCTGGGCTGAGCAAACAGAAATCTGACATGCACATCAGTTAGCATCTTTCTGTTTGGCTAGCAATTCCGAGGAACTCATGCAAATAAAGGCAGGTCCTTTATTTGTAGCATAGCTCAAATGAGAAATAGGTCCTTAGGTAGTATAAATACAGTTATGGCAAGCATTAAAGTTGGGCAAATTTTTTCACAGTCCATCAAAGCTCTCTTGATGGTGGTCTCAGCAGAGAGACCAAGAAATGAGTGGGCCTGGAGACTGAAGTACCCTCACCCCAACAGCTGAGTCCTCCAAGTCAGAGCTGACTCATGTTAAACTGTGTGGGAAAGTCTGCATTGTCACTGCCATTCATTGATAGATGAATTGAGCACCGTCAGAGCCCTCATCCTACTGTCATTTAAGTCAGAGAGAGATTTGTCATTAACATCAATGGGAGCTGAATCAGGCTCATAATTTGGTATCTTTCATGAAAACTAACGTGGTTTTTTTTAAGCAAGGAGTTCTGTGGATCGCCCCATTCAAGACCCTGGGGCAACTCTGGATTAGTTCTGGTGTGGGAATATAATTTTGGGGCAGTATTGTATTTCCTTGCTGTTTGCCTTCCCTCTGTACTCTCATGACAGAGCTGTAAGACACATGTCTGATTTCTCTCTCTGTCCAGCTGTTGATGAGCAGAATGCCCAGACACAGGAGCAGGAGGACTTCATCCTGGGGCTTTCCACCTCTGAGGAGGGAAAGGAGCTGAGGAACGAGGATAAAACCTCCCTGCAGCCATTGCACAGTGGCAACTATGGAGTTCCCAAAGGGAGGAGTCATCGGAAAGGTACTAGTCGCTGTCAGGCAGCCCAGGTTCCTGCATTTGGACAAGCACTAGGGTTCCCTTTTCCATAGGTGCTTTAGGATATTTCTGTGCCCATCCCTTCTTGGAACCTGTTTTCCTCCTGTGTGAGGTTGGCGATAGTTCTGTAACCTCAGCTCAGACACTTCACATCTTCTCCATGCTCAAATCCCTTTGCCAAACAGTCTCCTTCCTGCTCAAAGAGGAACCCCTCTCAGATTTTTGAGGGTTTGTTCATGATCTTAGTGTGCAATTTGTAAGACCCAAGAGATTCATTAGCCTTATGCTGACAGCAGCAGCCAGTCTTCTCAGTGCTGTCAGCTTGCCGTGCTCTCAGGTGTCGTCCACTCCACTCCCCCTCTGACATTTTCTTATTGGACCCCGGCCTTCCTGCACAGATACTAGAGCAAGGAACCAGCTTGTAATCACTGTTAAGTGAGAAAATCGTAAGAGAGCCCTATTCTCTCCAAATACATTCAGAACTGAACTGGGTCTGTGGACTAGGCCAATACCCATCATCTGTTTTCTTCTTCAACTGAAGCCAGACCTCTCTCATCTCCATTCCTAGTATTAGTTCAAGGTATTTGTGTGCCTCACTGCTGGTACCAAGTGTTTGTGTGTCTCTCTGTTGCACTTGGGCCAAACCTTTTTGTCTCTTCATGAGTCTGGTTCTGTCTCTTTGCGTAACTGTGCTTTGTATTGTCTGGAATGTGTTGACGTTGAGTGACTGGTAATTTTACCTTCTGTCCCCTGTTCCTTACTGCTTGTGCAGTGCTGGTGTGTGCTTGTTTGAGCAATACATAGTGTTTGTCAATTCCAGTGTTTTGTGTTGTATTTTGTAGTGTCCAAATCTCCTTGTGAAAGGCTAATAAACAAAGGAAGTTTGTCGCTGGGCAGCTCTGCATCTCTTCCTCCCCAGACAGGAAACCGGGACAACCTGCCAATGCTCAACACAAAGATCGTCTACCCAAGTGAGTGTCTCACCCACCTCTTCCCATTCAGGCAGCCTGCTGAGCTGGGGTGACAACAGCATAGCTTCAGCTCTCCAGCTAAGGGCATGAAATGTTTGTCTGATATCCGTTCTCGCAGATAAACCCTTGCCAGAGCCAAGTTAGAGAGTAATCTGTTTGCAGGTAACTTTCCAACGGGCTTGAATAGTGAAGATGTTGGGAAAAGATTAGAATGACCCCCAGCTGAGACCGAGACACAGATTTAATGGCTGCAGTGCAGAGACAGGATTTAGGTCTTGATGATTGCACAAAGGTGTAAGCTTAACAGTAGGTTGTTGCAATGGTAAATAAGTGTAAAATTCTCAATACAGTCCTGGAGTCTGAGTTCAAGAGAAGCCCGAGAGTGAAGGGTGGTCCTTCCAAGTCAAGGCCGAAGTCACTGGCAGTACTTTCAGTCTCCCTTGTTCCCATCTCAGAGATCCTGCAGCTGTTTCTATCCCTTGGTGTTCTTAGCAGGTCACTCACTGATAACTTTAACACCACAAATCCTGACTTGCTTGTTTACATTGGTTTGTTCTTGTCCAGAAAGAGTTGGGGTCACTTTCTCCCTGACTAAACCTGGCACGTCTTCATTGATAGCTGATAATGTGGGAGCAAGAAGCAGCAGCTCCTGAAGAGTGGTGTGCAGCCTTGAACCCCACTTCTGTCCCCTCAGTCTAGTCAGGCAGAGACCCAGCTGCACTCCTTGCCCCAGCAGCAGGAGAGAGCTATTGCAGTAAGATCGCTTCTGTCCCCTCTTTCCCAGGCACGGACCCTACCACGCCCAAACCAGCAGAGAGACTTATGCACTCCCTTCCCACCTCCTTTACAGCTTGATTGCTGACTGCATCTTGCTGGAGGGTAGAAGAATGCTCTGGAGCCCTCCTTGGTGCTGGGGGCTGTACAAATGGAGACACATGGACTTTTTACTTTGCCTTTTTCCTTTAAAAAAAGAAAAGGCAAAGGTGGATTCCCCACCATAAAGGGGTGTGTGTGTGATCTCCTTTTTCCAGAAAGAGCCAAAAATGATGACAGCCCTTTTCTGGCACATTGTAATGTTTTGATCCCAAGTAGAAGAATTAACACCTATGTTTGGACCCAGTGCTGGTTAGGGTTGAGCCCTGAGACTAGTACTTGTCATATGTCTGATTTTATTGTTTTTCCAGTGGGGGGTATATGTCTCTCACCCCAGCCCTCTTGGCTCTGGGAGTAAATAGCAGTTCTTTGCCCAGTGTTAACATGCCTTGGCCTCCATATTTAATAAACTCCATGATATGCCCTACATACTATTCCCTCTTTATTTTCTCCCCCAGATATTCGTGCTGGTATGTCTGGTTCTCTGCCTGGGAGTTCGGTCATCAGCCGATTGTTGATCAATGCAGATCCCTTTAACTCTGAGCCAGAAAACCTGTGAGTATGCAGAGGAGCTAGACAGGAATGAATGGTTCCAGATGAACCTCAGCGTCAGTAAATTGTGGGGAGGGAAGAGGGTTGGTTTTGAGAGTTAATTGGGGATGTAGGCGGCGCCGGGATGAAGAGATGTGTAAATCAGCCGTCCCATGCTGGATGTCAGTTATCAAGGTGTATGGGCATGAGGAGTCAATGCAGAAGATATGGGGCTTCTAGTGAGAGAATCTAACCAAGGCCAGTCTCCTCCCAGGACTGTGGATGTGAGGGAGTGTCTCCCTCTCCCAGTTAGTGTGATATGGGCAAGGTCCAGTTAGCTGTTCAGCAAGCTAGACCTGAATTCTCCAATAAGGCCCCTTAGATTCTGCAGGAATCTGTAAATTCTGCAGCAGCTTCATGAAAATGCAAAAATGACACATTTTTCACTGACTGAGCTGTGAAAGTGACAAATGCAATCCCCCTGTGGTGTTTGTCCCCAGAGTAAATCACATTCATTTGCCTGTGTCCCTAAATTTTCAATTGGTGTGCTGCAGATTGGTGTATTGGCTATGTCTGACGAAGCTGTACAGGGGGAAAACTGGACGGTTTGGCTGTGGGCTGACGGGATGTTTGGGCCTTTTGGTGTCCAGAAAGGGAGTGGGAAAGGAGTTGGAATTGTGAGATAAACCCATGTTTTGGATGTTTCCACTCAAATCTTTAGCAGTAAAATAGCTAAATATTGACATTTCAATCATCATCATTATGTTTCACCCCATTGAGCTGAGCAGTTGACCACACTGAGTTATTGTTTCAGGCTCTCTGCTGAGTCAGGCAGCTATCACCTTGTCAGTTACACTTTGTCCACACTTGTGAGATTTTCTTCACAGCCATAAGGGCTAGAAATGTAACATCTTCAAAATGAAATTGTAGAGTCTTGAGCACAGTTCTGTGGCACAGGAGTGAATTCAACTGCAGATTCTGTGGCCAGGGATTGGCAGAATCCACAGGACCTTGGACCCCTACACAGTGTGTCCAGACTGCTCTTTATGAAGTTTCTTATGGGGTAGTTGAATCAGCTCTCACTAGACTACAGAAGATCCTGCTGGTCTCCTCCTCTTCTTTCAACCATCTGTGTGTCAGGAGATGTGGGATGGCTGAGAGGGGTGTAAGAGATATGGGTCACTTTAACAAAAATTGTTTTCTTTAACTTGACAGAGAGTGTTACACAGAGAAGTGTGTCATGAATAATTATTTTGGAATTGGATTGGATGCAAAGATCTCTCTGGACTTCAACAACAAACGTGATGAGCACCCAGAGAAGTGCAGGTAGGTCAGTTCTTTGGGAGGCAGATTTTGGTCTTTTCGGTCTATAGTGATTGCATCAGAAGTGATTACAGTTTATAATCTACTATGGCACCTTGAAGCTGGTCATCTGAAACCAGCATGAGTAGTTTCACCTTGATTACTTCCTAATTCAAGACATTGTAGATCACATGGGAGATCCAGGTAGCTAGCTCTGATATGGATTGGATGCAGTGGTTCAGGCATTTACTTCATTACCTCACTAGCAGCCTTTCTCATATGGCTGCTTTTTAGCTACGAAAGAATTGTGTCCCAACTCCAAATGCCATGGAACTCCATTCTAAACCCGCACCCTGCCCTATAAATCGGGCTTATAGTTCTATGGTCTTCAGGATACCTGTATAGAAACAGGGTCCTTCAAACAACCTGCGGTTAATAGGTTTTCTCTGTCCTGAGCAATGTTCAGCAACACCCTCAGCTCAGTGATGTGTGTGACTGGTTGCATCTCCCTTTTGGGAGCATCTGCACATATTTCTGACAGCTCATGTTAGTGGATCATCCCTAATTCCTGTTTCATTTTTTTCAAGGGCAGCCTCTTTTCAGAATACAAGGGATGGCAATTTCCAGTTCTTGTTTCTTCTGAAAGAGGAGGACTCTTGTTTTTAGGGGATTGGGAGGTATCATTGAAATAATCTTTTCTTGCAATCAGACAGTAAATGACAGTGCCTCATGCTGACTGGTGCATCTCTTGTTTCTTTGTTTGCCCCTCTAAGAAGTCGTACTAAAAACATGATGTGGTATGGAGTGCTCGGGACCAAGGAGCTACTACACAGAACATACAAGAACTTGGAGCAAAAAGTCTTGCTGGAGGTGAGAAAGAAAATGCCCTTACGTGGTTAAATCTCTCCTTCTCCCATCCCAGTCAATTTTAAATTTTTCGCTTCTGATTTGGCACATTTATTTTAGCATCATTTATCAGTCTTTAACTGAACACTTGAAGCCCTTCCAGCATCTCCATCAGTCACCTTGAATCTGACCCAACCTGTTGATTCCAGAGGAACATTTCCATTTTCAGTCCTTGGGGTTCCCCAGCCCAACCCCGCTGCACTATTAGCATATGTCAATCCTCAGCCTGATGAAAGTAGCCTCTGCTGATACTAGGAAGATATTCCCATTCTCCACACATGGAATCTGTGCTTGTGATAGGAATTACATCGTTTTAGAAAACGTTGACTAACACAACGTTAGTAAGTAAAGACTTAGCCCTCAGCATAGACAAGGGTTTTTGTGTTTAACATTGTATCTCCTGTAAACACCATTGTCCTTATCTACTCTGGTTGTCTAACGTATTAGTTAACACATATTCTACGGGGGTCAGATTGGGGAAGAAAATGGTGATATTCTTCCAGGCTTCCCCCACAACATTAGCTCCATCCATGAGTTGTCAAAATGCGACACCACTCACAGCAAATTGTACAGATGTTCAAAGTGAGATCACAGTGCCATTGGCTCCACTAGGCTCTCTCAGCTGGACCTGCCCCCCTCGCTTGGGGCTTAAATGTGCCCATGAGCTCTGCTACATTTCTAAGGCATGGCTCATGCTTGACTGGGGGAAAAGAGGGGTGGTGACACCTGCTTGTGTCACCAGAATGAAACAGCACTCACGGGAAATTGTGCACCTCCCTCTTCTTTCTTACATGAGGAATGAAGTAATTAATGTTGCCATTTAAACTGTCATCAATAGGCATCAAGAGTTAACATCTCAGTGACATGAATAGGGCTCTTCATTACCCCAAGAGCTATTATTCCTCTCTGCATCAAATACTCTTGGCTCACATTTTTGAGTGCGTTTTTGCCACCATACCAGCTGGAGACTTGCTTTCTCTTTTTAAATAAAAGCTGAGATTCTGGAAAGCAAGCCAGTCACTCAGAGAAGTGCCGGGACAGCATATGGGCATGTACCAGCTGTTTGAGCCCTGATATTATAACATGATATAATTTCCTGGTGTAGACAAGGCCAGTAGTCCTGGGAATTCATCCAGTTATGCAGGCAGTGTGCTTCAGTGCCAGCCCAGTGAGTGTGCCCTCAACAGTATCTGGACAATGTTCTATTCTCTTCAGCAGTCTGCCTAGTGATGACTGAGTAATCTGGAGAGGCTTTAAAATTGCTGCCTGCTAACATCAGCACAGCTATAAATGTGACATTATCTTCTGTTCTGTGCAGTGTGATGGGCGTCCGATCCCTTTGCCCAGTCTTCAGGGGATCGCTGTACTCAACATTCCCAGCTATGCTGGAGGCACTAACTTCTGGGGAGGCACCAAAGAAGATGATGTGAGTATTCCTTGAAGGTGGCAAATGGGAACATGACAAATTTCTTCAGTATTTACTGTTGAATGCACCAGTAGCACCTGAGACCTGACGACTGGAACAAGCGCATGTCTGGCTGAGGTTTCTCTGTGAAATGTGTGGCTACCCAAAAGTCAAACTTCAGCAACTTGTCAGCTACAGGGGTTCAGACTAGAGTTAGATCCTATTCCAATCCTTCTGATTTTCATGAAGCGCGATAGATGAGCTCTGGGATGCCCCCCTGTTCCTCTCCGCTCAAAAGGCCTGCTCTAAAGCCCATTTAAGCTAAGGGCAGTGTTTCCATAAACTTCAGTGGGCTTTGCGTGAGGCTCCAAAATTTTGACCTCAAATAATGGAGATAATCAAGTCCCATAAGAAGAATGTTGTGTAGAGGCTTATGTGTCATCACTGTGCAGGAATGATCCTTTAACTGCTTTTGGAAGCCCATTGGGAATACGGTGGCTACTTTTTCTCCTTCCTGGATCACTTCAAAATCCACCTTGTAGCGTCATTGTTAATTATATAGTGAATAAACAGCAAAAGAGAGAGCCACAAACCTCCATCCATGGGAGGGAAGGAAGCTCTTCTAAAACAGAGAAATATGGGAATTGAATTCTCACTCCCCTTGTGTTTGCTTAGACATTTACAGCCCCCTCCTTTGATGACAAGATCTTGGAGGTGGTAGCCGTGTTTGGTAGCATGCAGATGGCAGTGTCACGAGTGATTAATCTACAGCATCACCGGATTGCACAGGTATCTGTTGCTTTTGTGAGCTTCTTGGCCAACCTTATGCCTCCCTCACCCAGAACACTTGGTTTGAAGGCTGCGATGTGTTTCTGCTTGCTGTCAGTCCCAACAGGGCAGAGAATGCAAAGCCTGTGGCTCTTAGGCTCCCCTAGTCCTGATGTGGGGGCCTGCAGGAATCAGGGCTAGTAGCTTCAGATGGTTTTGAGCATGGAGTGGTTTTCCACTGTTCGCTGTGATCTAGATAGGTTGTGGCAGTTGAAACACTGACTAGCACAGCAATCCATTAGATAACCCAAGGCATGATGCACCGGAGGCCAGGGCACCAAGGGAGTTTGCCCTGCACAGGAAGAACTGAATCAGGTGGTCCAGCCCCACCAGCAGCAATTAGAACAAGGCTGTCAGACATAGGGAAACATTTTGAGAGGAAATGTATACAACACATCTTGTCTTTTGGGACCTATTTAATGCATTTATTAACTTTTATTTTGGGACCTGTTTAATGCATTTATTTCTCGCAGTGCCGGACAGTGAAGATAGCAATCCTGGGAGATGAGGGAGTGCCTGTACAAGTGGATGGAGAAGCCTGGATTCAACCCCCTGGTTATATTTGGATTGTTCATAAAAACAGGGCACAGACACTAACTAGAGACAGGGTAAGAGTAACCCTGCTGTACAGTACATGTACAAGAGAGACATCCTTTAACACCATATATACCCCAGAGAGGAATGCAATAACCTGACAGACTGTAGAGAGAGACATACATATCAGGTGTGCAATGTATACTTTTATATATATATATATATATATACACCCATATACACTGTTAAAAGAATATTGGTAACTTTGCAAAATCAAGCATTCAGAGAACAGGAAATGCTAGAATTAAGGTTGTCCATGCCACCTTACCTTGGCCCCCTTGCGTGTATGCATACTGTCTTTAATGACATGATCACATACTATTTCTTCCGCAGGATCCCTGCCTCATTCTGTGCACTGGATGGATGAGACTCAATTAATGAAGAGCTATTCAGTGTTTTGTTTTCTCTTCATTGTTCAGTGTGTGGCTCCAGGCCTTATTGGCCAGGAGAAACGAGGTCCTACACTCAACTGAACGGCATTTCTCTGTCTGTAACATGATAATATTTGAACGCTGCACCCAATCAATTTCAAAATTTGAGGGAATGTTCTAGGCATCATTGTCCAGAACCCCAGTGATTTGGAGGAAACCTGGAAGGAGGAAATGTGGACACACGGAGCCACTGGCATCTGGTTAGCAGACTCAGCAGTTTCAGCCAGATTTGACATTGACTATAGACCATTGAGGCCAGCCATTGACACCTTCCAGCATAACAACACTCCTCATGTGAGCTCTGCCCATCCTCTCAATAGGGGTTAACATTTTGACCTCCTGAATGTCTTCTATCCCTGACAAAAAGAAAAGATATAAGAATGGGTGAATGTGGAGGCACATAGAGGCCCTAGGCTGTGGGGAGAATGGGGGACCCTAGTATGGGGGAAGAGGCAATGGCAGGGGCAAACAGAACCCCTGGCTGGGAGGAGAATGGGGGACCCCATGGTATGGGGGGGGACACGGAGCCCATGACATGGTGGGGAAGGGTGTGTTGGGAGAACCGGGGAATGACGGAACACAAAACCAATGGGATGGGGGAAGGAGGAATGGGTTGCACAGAGCCCCTGGCATGGGAAGACAATGGGGGACAATGGTAAGGGGAAAGGGGACAGTGAAGAAATGGAAGGCACACAGAACTCCTGGCAGGGGTGGAATGGGGGGCAATTAGAGCCCCAGGCGGGGGCCGGGGGGGGGGGGTGGACGGGGGCGGGGGGGGGGGGGGGGGGGGGAGAATGGGAGATTATGGTATGGGGGAGGGGAACATAAGAGACACACAAAGCCCCTGGCATACGGGGGAAAGAACGGTTGCAGAGAGTCCCTTAAATAGAGGGAGAGGGGAGAGTGGCACATGGGGAGCCTCTGGGGGGAGTGAAGGGGCACCTGGAGTCCCTGGTGTCTGTGATGAGCTTAGCCTACAGCAGCAACAAAGTGGATGACCCTCTAGTTCACTGCACACTACTAAGAGAGTAGTGCTAATTTCCTCGTGGGCTTTTCTATGGTGCGCATCACTTGAGTGCTCACAAACATTAATCATTCTATCTTCACAGCACCTCCTCAAGGTGAGAGGGTCTCATCCCTGTTTTACAGCTGGGAGCACAGGCATGGAGAGAGTACGGTCAAAAGTGTCCACTCATTTTGGGTGCCCAATTTGAGACACCTAGGGCCTGATTTTTCTTCAGACTGCTTAGCATTTGTAGCACTTTCTATGCTCAAACTGAAGCCTGTTCCCACTGGCTTCAGTTGCAGCTCTGAGTGCTCAACCCTTCTGCAAAGCAGACTCCAGGGTACCAAGTTGGCCACTCAGAAAATGAGAAACACAGTTAGTGATCATCTGTGAAAAGTTTTGTTTCAGTGAGTTGCCCAGCATCAGCTAAGAACTCCGTGGCAAAGACGGGCCTTAACTGTGAGACTGTCCTTTCTCTTCCTGCAGTCCCCTGTTTCATTCTGTACACATCTTCCAACTTCTGCAACAAATCTAGGGGGCCTACAGACAAGTCTACTTTTCTACACAACCCTTCGTCATCCCCAGAGCAGGCCCATCCTGTGCACTGAATGAAGCAGAGCAATGGTCCTGTGGAAAATTAGTATATGATCATGTAATTAAAGGCTGTATCATGATGCATATACACAAGGGAGGGCAAACTAAGGTGGCACAGGCAACCTTAATTCTGGCATTTCCTAACTTTTGAGTGCTTGACTTTTCATGTTCTTTTAACGTAGTTTTGTGTGTGTAATTTCCTGGTTTTTTAAAAAAAGCAAACTGGAAAACAGTTCTAGTATTTGACACCTACATGGGTCACCAGCGGGGTTGGAAATTTCAGATTCATCACCTAGATCTCTGCTATTTGAGCTAACAGAGTAACTGATAGCAATAGTAGGTTGTCATCCTCTACAGGGACCAGCACTAGAGGGGAATGGACAGACACTTTGGTAGTGGGTTTCACAGATCTTAGTTGACAGCAGAGAAACAGTGAGACTTAACCTTGGGTTCCATTCCAGGCTCTGGATGGGAGTGTGCTCTAGTGGGCCCTGACTCTTCTGTCCATTCCCTGAGCTTGATCCCTTCTGCTCCATTCCCTCCAACCTGTCCCAGACCTGTCTCTTCCCCAGTCCCAGCCTTCACCCTAACCCCTCTCAATACCCTACCCCCTGAGATCATGTTCTAGCCCCACATTTTTAGCCTCCTTTTCCATGCTGCCTTGCCAGCAAGGGTGGGGTCACTCCCTGCTCTCCATTATGATACCTGGCCCCAGGGAAAGCCTGCTCAGCCCCAAGTTGGAGTATGCCCAGTGTGGATGGAATCTTCAAGGACTTCACCTGTCAAGCTCTAGCAAGTTTCTACTGAGCATGTGCGAACTACAGTTTTTCAAAGGCTTATAACTTGGCCAGATCTGTGTGGAATTTCATGGGGAAAGCAAAATGACTGTTCTCGACATAAAGGCCACTCCCTGCCAAATTTCAAGTCCCTGCTCCAAAGCATGGGGATGCTAAAGCTTCTCCAAGAAAAGGTGACCACAATTTTTTGACATGGCCGAAACAATGCATTTTTCCCTAAACTCATTCTCAGGAACGTCTGAACTGTTTGGACTGAAATTTTCCAACACAGAAAAAAAGTAATGAGCCTGAGTCAAACGTCCAGCATGGTAAATTTCAGCCCAAATGTTTGTCACAGTTGTAAGTAACTGAGAACAGGAGGGCCTTATAACAGGGAGTGTCAATCGGCGGTGCTGCCAGCCCTGCCTGTAATACAGGCGCACACAGGGTTGAAATGCTTTCTCTGGGAGATTTGCAAGGTAGTTTTGAGTGCATTTTCCTTGTTTGTAGGCATTTGAGAGCACCCTAAAGTCCTGGGAAGATAAACAGAAGTGTGAGTTGCCCCGGCCCTCCTCTTTCTCCCTGCACCCAGAGATCATGTCTGAAGAAGAGTCCACCCAGATTAACCAGTTTGGTCAAGCGGCAGGAGCTCTGATTCATAGGTGAGACCCGCTTCTCTTTTCCTGGAGCTCACAGTCCTACTATATGCATCCGAAGAAGTGGGTTGTAGCCCACGAAAGCTTATGCTCTAATAAATTTGTTAGTCTCTAAGGTGCCACAAGTACTCCTGTTCTTTTTGCGGATACAGACTAACACGGCTGCTACTCTGAAACCAGTCCTACTATGGCATCTTGTTCCTCTGGGCTCATGAGGCCCCCTCCTGGCTTCTGAGTGTGGTGCTTGTTGTCACATTCCCTTTCCTTCCAAAGCTGTCTGTCTTGTCTGATCACCTGCAGTGCTCATCTGTATCCCTGGGAATAGCCTAGAGCAATGTATAACTTCATCTGCTCATTGCTCTACCGCAGCTGCATTAGAATTTAAATCTACAAAGTGAAGTTTTTTCAGTCACTGTGGACCAAATTCACTCCTGGCACAAGCAAGCACAGCTCCCTTTGTTGCTCCTTTCAGGGTGAGGTTAATTTTATATTTTTAAAGAACATGGGGGCTTAGGTTCATCTGTTGTTCTAGCCCTAGATGTTGCCAGTGAATTCGTCAGAAATGAAACAGCTGCTTCTCAGGGAAGAAGCCAGACTTGCTGGGAACCTTTAACCCAGATCCACAGCAGAGATTGGTGAAAGAGGACTTTCACACCAATATACACACTTGCACTCTTTTCGCAGGTGCCCTGCTCACTGATACTAGCATTTAGGAGAAACTGCACAGAGCGGAACACCACCGAAGTCTTCTGTGAACTACCATGTACATAGCTGCTGCTAAAATCACAGCCTACATGTAGTATAGGGCCATATTTTAAACTCTAGCCCTAAGTTGTGCTTTGCAAAAAAGAATGTGCACATGTGGAGTTTTGTGCACATGCCCTGCATTTGTGTAAGTAATTGCATGTGTGTATTCATTTTCAGGCACAATTTAGTGCTAAAGTGTATAAATTAGTGTATTCTTTCAAAAATCCCTTTAGACATACAAGTACAGGTATTGCAATCAGCTCAGCTGTCTTAGGGCTGTGCTTCCTTGCTTGTGGTCTGGTAAAACATGCCAGGGTTAGACTTGTGCTACTTTTCATAAGATCATATAAAAGGGATGCCTCACTTGCCTTGCCCTATCCATGGCAGATCACCTGGACGGGAACTGATCTGCCAGAGGTCAGATCACCTACACGAACACTGCCATGCTGCTATGTCCATAGCCTCAGCACCCAGAATGGCATTGGAATAGAAAAGAATGAGGATCAGCTGACATGGTCTATGTTTCTCTCCCCAGCATTCGGGAAATAGCCCAGTCCTATCAAGACATGGAACAGGAACTTGCTCATGCAGTCAATGCCAGCTCCAAATCTATGGACAAAGTATATGCCAAATCCAAATCGACAGAGGTACTTCTAAGCAGTTTGTTTCTTAAGCTTTGCCGCAATTTTGTTACTGTTTTCTGCTTGGTTCTTGTTCGCTTCTCTGAGACTCCTTTCCCTCTAGCCATTTGACTGCTGTGTTTTCTGGCCCTTACACATGTTTGTTGTTGCCACAGGGTCTGAACTGCAGCCTTGTTGTAGAGATGGTGAATAACGTTAAAGCCCTGCATAGTGAGACAGAGCTTCTGCTGGCTGGCAAGATGGCACTGGTAAGGAGGGCTAAACAGGAGGGAAGGGCTTGGAGGTAGTTTCCCTCAGTCCGTTTACTTCCTCTGTTCTTTTACTGTGGCCATGGCACAAAGACAAAATCTTGCTGGCCCCTGGACTCCTTTGGCTTTGTAACAAGTCAGTGCAAACTTTACCAGTGGGATTTAAACAAATTGTGCCGTCCATTGCCTCCATGGTTTGGTAACGTTACACATTATACGACAAGATCAGGCTGGTTAGCTCTGAGTTCTGGTTCCTTGAGAGGGAGGAAGCTTAATATTGTCTAGAAAGGAATGTCTTGATATGTGGTTTCTTTAAAAATATCTTGAAGGAGATAACATACTCTGCATTCCAGCCTATGGTTCTGAATGCTGTTTGCCTTTGGTTCTGTCTCTGATGCAGCAGCTGGATCCTCCACAGAAGGAGCAGCTCCTAGCAGCGCTGACAGACATGGACCTTCAGCTGAGGAAGTTAGCAGACATCCCTTGGCTATGGCAACTCATGGAGCCCAGTGATGATGAGGTAATAACTCTCAAATGCAGGAGCAAAACAGTTTCCCTAGGTGCTGTCCTCGTTAGTTAGCTCTGCTCATCTTGCTTCAGTGACTTCCTGTGAGTGGGTCACAGTGTGAGACAGAATCAGTTCAGAAGAAAACTCCATGGAGTTGACATGGTCCCTGGGTTGACATGGAACTGACCATTTTTCTTCCCCCTCCTGACCATGAGACTGGAAGCTCTTTCCTCTCCACAAGGGCTGTGAGCTGCACTAGATGCTAGGTTCATTCAGTTGGTATGGATTTGAGACATAAGTTTCATTGATTTCCCTGTGTGTTTCTGCAGAACCAGATGCTGGATTATTCCAAACGCAGCCGCAGTGGCAAATTTCGGCTGGTGACCAAGTTTAAAAAGGAGAAAAACAACAAGAATAAGGAGACTCGTAGCAGCATGGGACTGCCTGGTACCAACTGGCTGTGTATTTACTCTGTGTGCCCCTGCATCTTGTGTTTGTGCACACACACTCTGCCCCTCCTCTGCCTGTGTCTCCATTTTGTGTCTTTCTCTCTCTTTCCTCTGTTTTCCCTTTCATGTACTTTTACTCACACATTACACTCACATTCTGTTTAGTGTTTCTTTTTCACTTAGCAAAGTAGTTTTTTTGCTGTGCTCTCTCTCTGAACCGTAACACCCTGCACTGAGCGGATATTCCCAAAGACAAACTGATGGCACCCTCCGAAGAGGTCTACCAAGACTTGGACTGTTTTCTGGAATGTTTTGGGAGGGCTGTGGGAGTGGACTTAGGCTTTTAGAAATCAAAATGACTGTGGGGCCCAAATCCGCATAACTCCAATCCTCCCACTGCTGATGCTCCCTGATGTGGTTAATGATGTTTCTTTCATTGATTCGCCCCTAGGGTTTAATCAAGTCTCATGTCTAATTGGCTGGGGATCCTGCATCACCACTGGTGCACCCTGAGCTCTAATCCTATTGGTCAGTATGATAAAAACTGGCGCATGAAATCAACAAATTGACTGGTATCAGGACACTTTCTCTCCAATTGGGTTAGTTGATTTTTGGTTTATATTCTACCTATGAAGACTCTCTGCCACTAAAATTTGGGAGTACTACTTGTTCTGTGGGATCATGGATACTGTCCTCTCCCATGGAATTGTGGGTCCTGTCACTCTTTCCTCCATGACATCTTTCTCCACTGGGATTGTGGGGACTTTTCTTTCTCTTATTTAGAGACTAATCTGGAAGCTGGGGGTCACTCTGTGTTCATTGCCAGTCCTCCCTCCCGCGTCAGAGGGAGATTTTACCATATTGTCTATAAAACATTTGATGAGCCATGAATGTAAAGAGACCTATGTAATGTAAGTGCCAGTATGTACTGTTTACTCTAAAACAGTGGTTCCCAAACTGGGGTTCGTGAACCCCTGGGGGTTCCCAAAATATTACAGGGAGTTCTTGGGCAAAAATTCCCTAATGGTGGACAGAGCTGTCCCTAGGGATCCTGGGCAGCACGGGGCCAGCAGCACGGAGCCCTGCGGACTTCCAAGAGCTAAGCAGAGCAAAGCAAGCATATCTATCACACTGAGGAGATTTAAATTTCAACACTCCTTATACGAAATAGAAAGGGAGGTGGATATATTTTGCTGTTTTTAAAATTAAATAGGCAGCTAGGATTGTTTTTAAAATTATTATGAAGAACAAGTTTAAGCTTTGTTGTAACGTGCGTTCTTTGCCTGGACTGCTCAAGACCTAAATGTTTGTGTAGGAGGAACTCTTTGAGTTGGCTTCTTAAATACCTTCATGCTGTTTCACATCTGATACTCCTTGATGAAACATAGGAGCCTTGTCTTATAACAGGCTTAATCAAAGTGATACAAGCGAAGAAAGTGAGATCTTGGAAGAGTATTGCCGTTTTATTAATGTCATAAAATTACTGTAATGATAAATAAGAATTAATAATAAATAGTGTGTAATAAGCATGTCATAAAAACAAATTTTATATTTCCAAGATCACTGCTTTTATTATTTATGCTCAGGCAAGGGAGAAAATCCCGGGAAATATTCATTTTTAGGAGGGGGTTCGCAAGACTTGATATTTTAGTGAAAGGGGTTCGTGGGTTGTTAAAGTTTGGGAACCACTGCTCTAAAAGAACAATAGAAAATTAACCTGGGCCTCATTCTCTCCTAAACATTTTGCATGGCTCTGTTTTGTTTTTTAAATGGAGGGAAATTGAGTTTCTTATTAGACATGGTGGTAAAGTTTCAGTCCCAGCAAGGCAGTGACTGGACATGGACATAAACAGACTCCCGTGGTTCATTACATCTAGTCTCTTTTTAAGAGAATGGCTCTGATTTTAATCTGACCTCCTTCTTTGTTTGAGATTGTAGATCCTGTTGTCAGTCCTCCTCTCCCTCATTTGGGGTTGTGGTCCTGCTTGACGTTCTCCCTTGACTTTCCTTTTGGTTTTGGATACTGTCGGTGTTCTTTCTCACTCTCTCTTTCCTCTGGGCTTCTGGGTACTCAATGCACTCCTGCTTTTCCATCTCCGACAGTTCACCTCTGGGGAACGGAGGAGGTTGCGGCCTGGCTTGAGCATCTCAGTCTTTGTGAGTATAAGGATATCTTCATCCGGCATGACGTCCGGGGCTCTGAGCTCCTGCATCTCGAACGGAGGGACCTCAAGGTACTTTCATGATCAGCTCATCAGAAATAGCCAGCTGCATCTGCATGGCCTTCTGTGCTGAATGTGCTTGGAAATGGCCTGCATCCCGTCCGTTCCTCGTGGCTTTGGCTAGATGAATGGGTTCATCATGGCTTCATTTTACTCTCTTCTCAGGTCACCTAATTAAAATGTATAGTAGGAAGCTAGCATAAATAGTCAGCCATTAGCCCATAGGCCAACAGTCCAGCTCTTTCCCAGTTTCCTGAAGTTGTGGTCCAATCCAACACCCAAACTAGTCGTTGTTGTTAAGAATCTCTTTATTTTGGAGCACTGTGGAAAAGGAGGATTTCAATATTCAGCTCACTCCCACCCCTTTACAGAATGAGTCATGATTTGGACTAGTTGGAGTTGAGTGTGTGGCTGTATTTGAGGGCCTGCAGATCATTGCATTTGCTTTTAAAAAGAAACAACCACAGTCTTAGATGAGACAGTTGGACAGAGACTTGTAGCCAGTCATATCCTTAGAGAAGAGAAAACAGTACTGCAGACCCACTCTGCAATACTTCACAGCGCTCCTCCCATCATCAGGAGAAGCTTTTTCTGGGAAGGGAAGTTATGAAGATCTGTGACTGATTTTGTGACTTGCATGTGATACAAGAGTATTTGTGGCCCATGAGTTGTGTGTGATATAAATGAATGTCCATAGGATTTTAATTTGTGACTTGCCTTATGTTCTGTGTGTACAGTGGTTAATGTGATATACGAGTGATAATATGACTCCTGTGCATGATCTCTAACTATTTTCTGTGATTTCTGTGCATGGTATCTGAGTGTTCCCATAGTTATTCTGTGTGATCCTGCCTAGTTGTGTTCTTTACCCATGTGTTTTGTGGCTGGCTGCTGACTTAGTTCCCTGGGATATATATAGTCCTTTCTACACATGGTTTGATCTCCTGGCTAGTCATGTACTTTGCATCTGCGGCTAGCCACATGGTTTGCAGTTGTAGCTAGTCACTGCTTTGTTCCAGTTCTGTGATTGTTGGTTACTTTGTCTTACTCTGGTAAGCATTCGATGCTTGGTTTAAGCATTCATATGACTGTTAGGTTTGTAATCTTTCTATATGGTTTCCTTCTGTTTTTCGTGATCGGCTGATTAGTTCGTAACTGTTGATTGGCTGTCTAGCTTTTTTTTCTGTGATCTAAGATGTGCTTTCCTCTTTTCTTCCAGGACCTGGGAGTGACCAAAGTGGGTCATATGAAGAGGATATTACACGGGATCAAGGAGCTGAGCCGGAATACTCTTGTCAGCGAGGTTTAGCCTCTGTTTTCACAGCCTGTGTCTACCATTCCCCCTAACTTCTGCACAGCATTCACCTCCCAGAGCAGCTATGCTCAAAACTGTCACTGTTCAGAGTTCATATCAGCCAGTCATGGTGCTACCTTTTTTCATGTGTGGTACAGTTGCATCCAGCAAGAGGCACCTTATCTGCTGAGGGGGGTGGAGCCTCCCAGAAGAGAACTCATCAGCCATTTGAAGAACTCTGTCCTTAGACATGGAAAGTCTTAGTTCTGGTGACAATGCAGGACAACTGACAATTGCAACACAGCTACCTTTAGTGTGTGATTTCATCATATTGGAATTATTCAGGGCAAAAGATGTATTGGCCAGTCATAGTCTTTTCAGATCTGAGACTTTCCCACTGGTCTGTATGTGACAGCTGTATCTGATATTGCTCAAATGGGGCGACACTTGTCCTTTTGGCCTATTGTAGCCCCCTTCTGGATACATCCTTCAGTTGCATGTGATCTGCAAGAGAAGCTCAAAGCCAGTGCAAGTCTGCCCTTGCAGTGATTCTCTCTGTGTCACTTATGCCTTGCAACAAACAATGCATGTGGTTACAGCCTTTTGCACCAGCCTACAGTCTCACCCTCGGCCTGTGTCTGTCCTCCTTCAGCCAATGATGGTGGTGCAGCCAAATTCAGAGCCATTGCAGTTAGGTGAAAATTCCAGCCAGTCACAGAGGACATTCTCTGGCTAGCCCCTTATCGCTTGACAATAGAGCAAAAATTGTACAGGCAATTCGCTTATGAAATCACCCATTCAGTATTCATCTTTAGGAGACTGGGGGGAAGAACCACTCATGGCAGGAGGGGTAAATTAGCCAAATGGGATACAGAAACAATTCGACCCACCTTGTTAGGGGAACAGCATGTCAGGCACCAGATTGGAGCCGGTTAGGAACGGCTTCTTTTCAGGTCAGTGCCACTTCCATAGCTACAAGTGAATGGATACTAACAATAGACCTGTGGCTTTAATTTATATACAAGGGCAGAAAACACTCCCCTCTCTTGAAGGATATAAAGCTATCATTGAAACTTGCATCTTTTCCCCTATTTAAGTCTTTGTGCTGCTTTTCCCCCTCCTGTCTCTCTCAAGCTGCCTTGTTCCCTCACAACAGTGCTGGTGGATGCCAAAGGAAACAGGGTCACTTACTCTTCATGGCATTGTACCTGCTACTAAGAGAGCATGTGCCTTGGAACATTGAGGGATTTTGTAGAAGCATCTGGAGTTAGTGTTACATGGCAGAGGAGCATCATGTTGAAAAGTGATGCCCCTTTGGCAACTAGCCTCTGATGCCAGCATGTGGAAGATGGGAAAATCAGCACGTCTGAATCAGAGGTCATAGACTGCTTCCGGATTCCTGTTCTATTGATTAACCTCCGTCAAGTGACTGGTGAAGCCCAAAGCCCAGCAGACCTAGTTCAGTTGGTGTGATTATCATTGGGGAGGGGGCTTGCTGGCAGTTAGCACCAAAAAGCTGGAAAGAGGGGAGGACTTTTTCGTTACATCTTTTGTATGTTTTTTTTTTTTTAAATGAGTGGCACTTGGCTGACCCTGCCCATAGGCAGGGAAATGAGCACATACACAGTGGCACACAATTTAATTTCTGAGGGCAACTTTTCTTTCCTGTTCTTCATAAGGCTTTTGTTAAAACTGCCTTAGCTCTGCATAGTTAACTGAATCTGCAGTGTCAGACATGATGTTTTCTGTGATGGGAAACTATGAGCCAATTTCATCCCTAGTGCCAACTCCTTTGAATTCAAGAGAATTACCCCAAGGGTTATTTGGGCCTTGAGTGTACGGTCTTGTTTTCTCTCCAGTTCATGTCTCCCTACACATCTCCTTTTCGAACAGAGGACATCAGGGTTTGCTTATGCTTGATTCCCATAGCAAAACACCTGATATAAGCCATTGTAAGGAGGGAGCAGAGAGAGGAAATTTTGCAACTCTGCTCCCAGAGCTTCTCCCTCCTTACTTTTCACTAGCATCCCTTTCCACGGTGATTTTTTTTATTATTAGTACAAAGGCCTCTTGCTGCATTGGATCCCCTAGTGTATTGAACAAGTAAGAATCATAATTCTCTTACAGCTGCTTTCATTTGCTTGTTTGGACACTGATCAAGGCCTGTGTGAGTGTTAGGAAAACCCACTGGTAAGCGAAGCTGTAGGACATAATGAAGAGTATTGCTGCACATTTTCATTCTTACTGATGATAACCAAGTAGCGCCCGCTTCATGGTATCTTCAAGAGTGTGTGTGTTGGTAGCAGTGTATACACAGGTAGGAGAACACGTCAGGAAGAGAAGTACCATGTGATAATTCTGGTGGAAGATGCAGCAAGAAAAGAGAGGATTTCTCTCTTTTTGCTCAGATTGTGAAAGAACCACAATTCTTGCTGATTATGCTTCTTTAAGACATCTCATGGTTAGAGGAACAATGTGTGCTTACCATGCTTGCATTACTTAGTCCTGGATGGATTCAGTTCTTGTCTCAATAGGAACAGTTCCTCTGTATTTTTTTTTTTTCCCTAATCAGACTGATGATGAGATCCTAGCATGTCCCCTCCTGTTCAAACATACTCCTTAGAACTACAACTTATCCTAGGAGGACTGAAGGTCACTGGTACATCTGCTTTTGGCAATGTTTCCATTTTGTCAAGGAGTTAAACTCTGCACTCTTTATTTCCCTCTGTGTATCCCAATATATTTCTTTTCATTGGTGAATTTTCTGAATACGCTTATAGCAGTGTCACTCTCCATTGCATTAGCTATCCTCCAGCAGCATCCCATGGGAATGGAGACACATGTTCTGCCTCCTTTTAAGAGTTAGAGAATGGGATCTTACATTTAACCTGAGTGCCTTTGGCTGTGCATGAGGTACATATCTAAAGAGAGGGTGTACCTCAGTGCCACTGGGAGTAATGCCATCATTCTATAGCTCAGGCTCTGGGCCTAAAATGGGAGCACTGGTGTCAAGCATCACTGAAAGATGTCTCCATGCACTGGGTGGTCAGACTGAGGTTCTAGCTTACCTATTTAGAGTTGTCCCTCTGGTATCTGATAAGCTTTTCTGTAGGAGAGAAAATGGCTTGGACAACTCAGGAAAACCAAACTGAAAAAAAATCTCACTGCTACTTTGCCAAAAACAAAACTCTCCTGCCCTGTCAAGCAAAACACCCACTTGGGAGAAGTTAGAATTTCATTGGTCTCTTGTACAAGTTCAGTCTTTTAATTAAAATGTTACTAGTGTCAAGGCTTCAGGTCACCTTCTGCCTCACCACTCCACTCCCCTGACAATGATTTGGGAGGGGAAGAGCAGTGTTTTACTGTGGCAAATTGGGCATGTGATTTCTGTTACCAATAATGGAAGTTCAGTGCCTCGTTTAGCAGGCATTGCAGTGGAAATTTACTCATTGGTGGCAGATTCTGCCCTGTCACCCTATTCAGCCCCATTCAATTCTTGCGATTGCAGTAAGAGTTAGAACAAGATTTGCCCACTAGCTGATCAAGACTGTCCTAGTGTGGGCCTCCTGGGGAAGGAAAGGGTTTTTATTTATAACACGGTCTTACCTGTTTTGCTGGAGTTCCTTTACAGTGCTTAGACTATAAGCATTTGACCAAGAGCAGCATGTGCCAGGTGTTCAGTGTAGGTGAAGTGTGTTATTTATTCTGTTTAGTTCTAGTGGAGACTTGTACTCTGTCAGACCATGAAGACTTGGTCAGTATACATTTCACTAGAGAGATCCCATCTCTAGGAAAGCGCCTCTGCAGCTAGGAATCTCACAGACTGTACAGAGCCGCTTAGTCCCAGAATTTCTTGGACTGCTCCTGACTTCTATTCAAAGCTTCTTTTGTTATTTTAGTATTATTTAAAGATGCATATATGAGCTGTGTGATAAAGTGAAAGACTGTTTACACAAAAAAATTTTGTATCTTCAGAAACGTGTGTACTGTAAAAAAGAAAGATGAAAAATAATATTGTTTATAAGGCTGTCAGCAGTAATCGCATGTCCGTCTCGCTGCCCACCAAGTGTTGTTCCTCAGGGGTGTCCACACCATTCCTGTGATCCTGTCAAAAGTATAGGGAAGCACCTCGATCCCTGTACAGTCTTGGAAAGAAGGTTTTGTGCCTTAAGAATGGGATCTGCTCCCCTCCTATTTATTATCGTAATTTATACAGTGATTGCCATGGAAACGCCTCTTGTATTTTATGTACATAGTTTGCTGTTGATTGTTGTAAATAAGTTGTTCTTGTATATAAAGCAAACCTGTTTCTGATCTTCCAGAAAATAATTCCTCTGTTATTATCTTCATCATGCAAGTGGGCTACAAAGTCCACTTATTGCTCTTTCCCAACAAGAAGCTCTGCTTTTGGACAATGATTTTATCCTGAATAGCATCAAAAGCTCAGAGGCTTCAAAGCTGCTTCTGAGGTGGGTTGGGGGTTATCAAGGAAGTGAAGAGATCATAGCTCTGATTGGTGTACATTAATTTATAGCTGTTCCTCATCACATTAGCTTAATCAATGTGTGCAGGAGGAAGTATTTATTTGAACTTTATTAGACAAGTTTCTATAGCAGGAAGTGTAAAGAGGAAAAAAATATTTCAAATTCCTTGGTTCTAACACTGCAAATGCTACTGCATAGTTTCTGTGGGTATAAGACCCACTGCTAGAATGGGCATAGACCCCTTGGGGATTTGAGAGGCATTTAGGTCCCTTTTCCCTTTCAAGTGCCAGCTGTATTTTTTAGTGACGAAGAGAAATTCCAACACCTTCCTAAACATGAGAGGTTATTCCCCTCCTGTGATCTAGTATAGCTCTGCATCAATTTTTTTGAACTCTGAGCTGCTGTTGTAACTTATCTCTAGCTTGATCATGCAGGCTCCTGGATCATCAGCTTGTTGCGGACACAGTTTCTAGACTCAGGAGATAAGTGAAAATGTATTTATAAAGCAATAAACATACTTTTTTCCCAGGAAATGTAGAAATTCAGTTGCAATCAAAAGTACACAATGAATCTGTAAACTTCAAACCTAAAAGTTTAGAGGGATTTGAGTGAGCAATGCCATAGGCCATGCTCTAACTCCATTCTCCTTCCAACTGTGTAATCAGATAATGATCAATGTGTTTGTAAGACTAAGAACCTTGCAACAAGTTATTCCTGACCTTAGGGCACAGTTCTTACAGTGTAACAACATTTCAAAGTAAGTGGAAACTCAGTAATATTTGTTTGAATAAATTATGAATATTTTCAGATGGAAAATAGAGCTTCACATGCAAGAATTACAGAGTGAAAGTTGCTGGAGCCCTTCCACTGAAAAGGAGAATTTTTAATGTATCAGGGATGTTAGAAATCCTAGCAGTTGTGTAGGCCTGATGCTAGATAGAAATGGTTCACCACCACATTATGTTGTATTCTATAAACTAGCCCCCAAAGTCTTAACAACAGGGAAGAAAATGCAGATTTTAATTTAAATATGCACCCACTTACCCCCAGGTCAGAATAACATCCTAAGAGCCATTCTCTTCTGTGGAATTGCACCACTTACCCCAGGTCTGAGTCTAGGTCACTGTGCAGTAAATAGTGCTATAGAAAGAACTATCGAAGAAGACAGACACCAGCAGGGACGAACCAGATGAGTTACCACTTAGATAGACCATTAAGACAAACACATTTTTAGGTTAGTTCATCTCTTACTTTGGATTGCAGAAGCCTCATATCCAAATCTCTGCCATATACAGCTGTAGTCACATCGGGGATAATGGGTCACTTTCAGCACTGCTCGGACTCCACTGATGTGGCTGAACATGGCCCAGCGGATCTCTTCACTGTGAACTGGGGAAGACCCTTAATGTGCTGAAGCAACAATGGGTTTTCTGTCATTCAAGCATCTCTACACACCTCTCCTCATCCCACACACCTTCTTTCTCACTTGGTGGGGAGAGGGGAAGCCCCGGAGACCCTTCTTCACCCTGCAGTGCTGGCAGCATTGGAAGCAGACTGGTTTAGGGGGCACCAGAAGCAGGGCCGGCTCTGGCTTTTTTGCCGCCCCAGGCAAAAAAGCCTCCGGCCGCCCTCACCCCCGCCCCCCCAGCGCGGCAGGGGAGGGCGCGGGGGGGAGGGTGGCCGGAGCCCCGGGGGGAGGGCGGTGAGCCCGGCCAGGGCTCCGATCTCCCCGGTGGCCAGAGCGCCCGGAGGAGGGCGGCGAGCCCGGCCAGGGCTCCGCTCTCCCCGGTGGCCAGAGCGCCCGGAGGAGGGTGGAGTGCCTGGCCGGGGCTCTGCTCTCCCTGGCGGCGAGCCTGGCCGTGGCCCCGCTCTCCCTGGCGGCCGGAGACGGAGCGCTGCGCCGCCCCCCTCCAGGTGCCGCCCCAAGCACAAGCCTGGTGGGCTGGTGCCTGGAGCCGGCCCTGACCAGAAGTGACTGAGGGAAGGGAAGTGATTCCCCACCTCCTAGCACTGAGAAGGCTGCTCTTCTATGAGAAAGGCATTTGCAGTGGGCAGTGTCTGCTGGCATATTGCGTAGCC